TTGAGTGTGGCTCTTCCACGAAATACCACGGCCTGGGCGAGTCTATTGTGAAGAAGTGGCGTTCGAAGAAGTTTAAGTTTAAAAAAATGTGGCTCTCTAAAGGAATGTCAATTGTTGTGCCGTTACTATTTGGCTCTGTGGATTGACACGTTTGCTGACCACTGCCCTGGACCATTCATGGCCCGATGGTCTGAGCGAGGCCTGCTCCCGCAGCCACGCCGACAAAACTGCCAACGGGCAGCAGGGCTCCGTGAGAAGGCCACTTCCCTCTGGTCGCTGGAACAATGGACCCAGTGACGGGGCCCGCGCACCCCCCCTTCCCCCCAAAAAAGGCCCAAAGGCCCATGAGCTATCTGCTAGCACTGCCCTTCACCTTGGGGCCACGGCCCCGGGGCCGCCACGCAGACGCTTCTTCTCGGGTCAGACTGAGGTTCCTTAAGGGTGACTCAGACGGGAGATTAGGTCCCCAGCAGTGGAGATAACTGTTTCTATTCGTCTGGCTTCTCCTCGGGAGGGGAAGTCCCCCTCCTGACTTTGTTCCCGTCACCTTTTGTGGCTTGTCTTTTCTGTGGCATTCCCTCACATTCCCCGCGTTTGGGTCCCTAGACCTTCTCATTCTGAGTTTCCCCCTCCCAGGCTCACTGCAGAGCTTCTCTGCAGGGACTCTAGAATCTTAGCACCAGCTTCTTTCTCGGGCACCGGGATGAGAGGTCCTGCCTGCCTGTTCCTGTCGCCTCCACGCAGAATTTCTGACATCAGATGTATGGTTTGTGCTGCTGCTCCCACTGGCTTAGGCTCCTGGGGAGTGTGCTTGTCAGGAGAGCTACGTCCCTCCCAGCTGCCGTGCTCAGTGCTTGAGCATCGACCTATGAACCAGGAGGTCAGGTTCGATTCCTGACTGGGGCACATGCCCAAGTTTTGGGCTGGATCCCCAGGTTGGGGTGTGTAGGAGGCATGATTCTCTCTCATCATGGATATTTTGATCTCTCTCTCTCCCTCTCTTTTCCTCTCTGAAATCAATAAACACACACACACACACACACACACACACACATATATATGTGTGTGTGTGTGTTTTGTTTTTTTTTTAAAGAGAGAGAGAGGAGAGAGAGAGAAAAGTTAAGTCCCCTGCGCAGCCGTGGTCATTGGTCCACACACTCCCAGGCCATCTCCTTTTCCCTCTCACCACCTCCCTGCGGGACTCCGGCTTCAGCTCCCCTCCCAACTGGTCCCTGGCTTCCATGTCCCCAGACTTTTCACAGCCACCGAATTGATTCTGTTAAACTCACACTGCTCCTGTCGCTGCCAGAAACCCCCCAGGCAGCTCCTCTCCTCTCTGCCGCTCCTTCCCCTGGAGTGAAGGCTGTTTTCAAGGCAGACGGGGCTTCCTCAGGGAGTGCGTGGTGTTCTCCGCCCACGTCCTGTGTGAGGTCTAAGGAGTGTGATCTTGCCATTCACTCTCCGGCCTTTCTGGAGATGCCGTTCCCGGGCTCTCCTCCTCATCGACACTGTCTCCTGCACATCTTCAAGGCTTATTGCACAGCCACCTCCTGCCTCCCCCATGCTGAGACCTCAGCACTGAGAGATGCTCAGATGTGACCTTGTGCGTTCACTGTAAGCTCCTGGAGCCCCCGGGACAGCACTGAGGCTGGTGGTCGGCTCAGTGGCCCAGGGTCCCAGCCCAGTGGGCCCATCCCAGCCTTGCTTGCTTGGTTCCTCTTTTTAAATCAGACACAGGCCATAGATTTGGCACAGAAAGCTCTAACCTGCTTCCCCAGCCCCCACTGATTTTAAATTTTGTCGGAGGCAAAAGCAAATATCCAAGGTTCAGGTCAATGCCAATTTGAGAGCATTTCTGCCAGTTGGAAAAGAAAACTTTGAAAAAGACATTTGACTTTTTTTTTTTTTTAACTTGGGGAAAATTTAAAAGGTATAGTCTTTCAAAGAAACAGGATACTTAAAGAAAAAAAAAAGAAAGAAAGAAAGAAAGAAAAAGAAAAAAACCTCGGCCTGGCTGCACGCGGTTGAGCCCTGTCAAGCTCAGCTAATCTCCTGTGACAGAGCAGCAGACCTAGCAGAGCAGGGGGAACAATGGCTGGAATTTATCTCCACCGGCTTCATAATTCCTGGGTCCCACACAATGTGATTATCATTAAACCGACTGAAAGGAGTGTGTGTGTGTGTGTGTGTGTGTGTGTGTGTGTGAGAGAGAGAGAGAGAGAGAGAGAGAGAGAGAGAGAGAGAACACACTGTCACACAGCTGGGAGACAGAAGTGGTCTCCCTAAGGGGTCAGCCTTGAGTGCAGTGGCCCTGAACAGCGGCCTGAGTAGGCCAGATGACAGCAAAGAGAGCATATTCAAAGTCGGGAGTAATGTCAAAGGTGGGGGTGTAGAGGAACAATCAGCAAGAACAGTCGCCTTGGCTATTGACTAGAGTGAGCAACAGCAGCACGCGGGCTCGACAGGAAGAGAGCTCACGTCACTGGGGAGAACGATGGCGGCGCACCCAGCGTCAGGCCAGGACCCTGATGCTGAGGGAGAGCACTACGGCGAGGCAGGGGCTTGGAGCCCTAACCTTGCATCCACCGTATCCCCTCCCAACGGCGCAGCCGGGGAAGTTGGACAGCGTTCAAAGGAGAGCCGTGGCTGTAATTAAACTAGGCTGCAACGTGGGAATTGAATTCTACACAAAAGGGAAAGGAATTAGGCTTATTGAACTCGGAGATGGACAACCGTACAAGGGCAGCAACAAACAAAAATAGCAGCAGTTTAAGTGACAACATGGGAGAATAAAATTAAACGTGGGGATGTTTCCTTAGTCCTGCGATGGAGAAGTGGGTCATCTGAGTAGAAATGATTTCTCCAGGGTGGTTGGTGGGTGCCGGCTGATGCAGGCAAACCTGAGTTGCTTTGGACATGTCTCCGCCCACGCTGTTATGAGACTACCCTAAAGTACTTCTTTAAACTCAAAATGAAAATGAAGAGGCAACCTGGTGCTTCAGTTGTTTCAATGGCCTGGGGCTTGGTTATACTATCTAATAAAGAGGGAACATGCTGATTGTCATGCACTCATAAGATGGCGGCACCCACAGCCAGAAGATGGCCGTACCCAGTCCCCTCAGCCCCGCCTCGTCCAGCCTCAATCCCCAGACCCCTCAGCCTGGCAAGGGAAGGCAGTTGGGGGCAATCAGGCCAGCAGGGAAGGGCAATTGGGGACAATCATGCCGGCAGGGGAGCAGTTAGGTGCCAATCAGGCTGGCAGGGGAGCGATTAGGAAGCTATCAGGCTGGCAGGCAGAGTGGTTAGGGGCCATCAGGGAGGCAGGTAAGTGGTTAGGAGCCAGCAGTCCCGGATTGTGAGAGGGATGTCCCATTGGAGAGGGTGCAGGTTGGAGGTTGGGCTGAGGGACAACCCTCCACCCCCCACCCCCCAAACACATTGCCCTGTGCACGAATTTTGTGTGCACTGGGCCTCTAGTCACTGATAAAGAGAACTCCCAACATAACATGAAGCTACTTCTCATAAAGACTAGCGATGAGACAAGCGCCCGAGCTAGGATTGTCCTGTGCAGACACAGAGCTGATTTGATCTGTGTGGGGCAGGCTGACTCATAGCGAATGCGCTTCTTTTTCTTTCCCCACTTTTAGTATAAGCAAGCCCCTGATAAGGGATCTAATCTAGGCAAATGGTAACAGTGGAGATTGGGATAAATGGCACCCTTAGCTCTTCATGTCTGTTCCGACACCATCCCATTCAAACATTTTTCTTTAAGGCATCATATGGCAGAGAAAAAACGCACATGGTTTTCCCTACAACAATGCTGACAACTAATAAACCACACACTCAGTTGTATGTAAGTTAATTCTTTAAATTTAATCAGTCCTTTATAAAACTTCCCAATTCATTAGTAAAAGATGGCTTATTTTAATAGCCTTAAACATTGGTTGCTATTTAAACAAGACATTCTAAAAAAAAAAAAAAAAAAGGCAATCACATAATAGTTTATAGTCATTTACAAGTGGATGGTATACATTTAGATACAGAGGTAGAAGTTCACTTTTACAACATCTCACGAATACACATTTACCAAATTCAAGGCACAAAATAGTTTGCTTTACAAAAAAATACTGTAAAAATGTCATTTGCTGTTGTACAAGGTGAATAAAAATTTCAAAAGAATCTTTACAGCCTTCCATCTGTACTCCATAGTGTAAGATTTCCCCCCTCACTCATCGTAGTTGGCACAAAAATGGGGATTTTTAAAAAAATTTAGAATCCCCATTTTTAGAAATGTTGTCTTTGCTGATCTGCTATGTATTCTAGATAAAAGTCCACCCACCCAAAGAAATGAAACATAGCGACTTCCTGAGGAAAGGACACATTCTGGATGCAGAATTCATAAGTAGGAAACGCATGATCTTTTTTTTTTATTTTTTTATTTTTTTGATAATTCGGTCCCCAGTGATAGATACTTAAAGGAAAGGTTTCAGAGTGAAAGTTTAAAAATTCAGCTACCACTTCAGTCATGTGACTTTAAGAATGCTGACAACTAATAAACCACACACTCAGTTGTATGTAAGTTAATTTCTCTGTTGTAGGGAAAAGAGACCCATTATCTTTCCGAAACAAACATCGCTTGATTCAAACTGATGGAGATTTCAAAATTCCTTTTCAAAAGAGCTGAATAAACGCGAGAGGCCGCACAGGCTGTGCAAAACGAAAACCCAGGAAACAGGAGAACACATCGCACTATCGGTCCTTGGAGTTGCAAGGGTGTCGACTGACTCGAGTTTAATGACCAGAATTAATAAACTCTATGGGAACGAAGAAAAACCACACACGTGAAACACACCGTAGTTACCATCTCTAGACTTTCTGCTCGTTAGAAAGCCACGGGAGCCTGGAGACGCCACAGTGCTTGTCTGAGAGAACGAACTGGTTTCAGGGTTCTGCCTACAAAGACCTCACCTTTGCTGATCGCATTTTTCCAAGTACTCTAGTCGGTTAATGTACACTTTATTTTTTTTAAAGTTGATTAATTAAAAAAAAAAAAAGTCCACACGAATTTAGAATCCCGAGAATGTCCGTAATGCTGATGTGGGTGGACGGAAACATCTTGACCATCTTCCTAGAGAAATGGCGCTCCACCCAAAAATGATTCTCAGATGCCGTTTTTCGCCTCGTTATTGTTTGTGGCTTGTTTTCTTTGAGCGATAAAGGGGTACATACACTTGTCCGCTCCTAGGAACCGATACATGCACACCACGGCTTCGAAAGGAAGGATGCTGCAAGGGAAAGCCACAGCGGTTAGCGAATGCGAGGCATGAGCCCAGGCAGGGGCGGGTCCGGCCGGGCGGGGGGGAGGGAGGGACCCCCTCGGTTACCTCTTCATGAACGTCACGATGTACATGAGGCGGGGCGTGCAGATCATGGGCTGGTCGGTGAGGATAGCCCTCATGGCCTGCTGCACGCAGTAGTCGGGCTTCAGAGGGGGTAGGAAAGGCTCGATCTCCTTCCTGGAAGTTAATTAAAAGGCAATGAAGGTGAGCACACAATGGGCAAGACCGCGCTTCATTTCACAACATGAACAGCGATGTTATCTGAGCCACAAGCTTTTGCCTCAGTTTTCACTTCACTTCGCTTCTCTGTATTTTCTAAATTTTCCTACTATGAATAAGGCAGAGTCTGGAAAACAAGTTTTAAAAAGAGGGCAGGACTGGTCTGCTTTTCTCTAAAGTGAGTCAAGTTTAAATACCTTAAGTTATATTTTTCTTTTTTCTTTCAACATAAAAAGGAGAGGGCGTTTAGCATAACCAACACTAAGCCCACACAGATGCCAGGGGGTGTGCGGGGCGGCTCAGGTAGCGGAGAGAGCCCTGCACAGCCTTCCGGACCCAGCCGAAGCCCTTCCCAGGCGCAGGCTGGGAAGCCAGGTGTGTTCTCCAGGGCTCTCTGACATGAGGTGACTTTGACCTTCAGCTGAATTCAGCACGGTGCATACTGAAATGCATTACTCCTTTCTCTTTCCTTTGTCCCAACACCGCTCTGGACACCCACCACAATGCTACATACGAAGGAGGGCTCCTTGGACTCTGAGCAACTGATTCCTAACATAGAAGGAGGGACAACCACACACACACACACACACACACACACACACACACACGGGGAAGGGTCAGCCTGAGACTGCAAGGACTGAAGTCACCTTCCACCTGCCTCCCTGCCTGGTCAGGTTCAGCGTGTGACCAAGAGGGCACATGTTCGGTTATCTTCCTTTGCTTTTCAAATGAATCCAACAGAGTTCTCAAGCCCGTCATCAGAGTACCCTCTTAATGATTCTTGGTGTTTATTCTACTCGGCAAAGTCAGATGAGACTTCGCATTCAGACTCCCACAGGCCTTTCATTCCTAGCAAATGGAGTCGTTTCTTCTCATTCTGGAGGGAATTTGGCTACACTCTCTGCAGAAAGGACTCTCCCAAGCCTGGAGAGGAACTCCCTGACACTGACACTTGCACACGGATGGATACTGAGGAAGTAAAACACCTCCTACAGGGGGGCCTCCAGGGCAATCCCAGGAGCTGCATCTCCTCCACGAAGGCCTGGAGAAGCTACGTCCGTCCGGTCTGGCGCCTCCAGACGAACGTCTGCAGGGTGACACCGTGTGGCACGAGCCCCCGCCTGTCCATCTCATTCACCTCCGTTTTACAAAGTCTCTGCCCAGTGGAAGTTACAGGTTAACTGTCAAGTGAGAGCCCAAGTGCAAGCTGACGTCTAGGATCCAATTTCACGTTTTCCCGATACGGAAAGGTGACTTTTAAAACAGCCTTTTATGAGCAGTAAGAAAAGTTCTCACGGACCTGATGCGGCAGCCTCGGAACATGCCGGTGTCTACCAGGTACGGGCACACCAGTGTTGTCTTAATTCCGTCCTTTTCAGCAGCCTTTAGCTCGTGGCTCAGGGACTCATGGAAACCCACGACTCCAAATTTGCTGGCACAGTAATCCTGTGAGAGGGAGAGAAGAGGGCAAGAGCTGAGCACACAGCAGGCCCCAGACCAAACCCGGCCTTCTCCCGGGTCTGCTACTCTGGTTACGTTTGCTACGAAAGGTTACAGGTGACTAAGCAAAGAAAAGGAAAGCATTTTAAAAGACAGATATCTGATGTGGTTCAGTGCAGAAATAATATTTTCAAAGCAACAGCAAAAACACATGAACACTTTTTGCCACATCAATGCAGTATCAGATTACTTGGGGGGGAAGTTACCACAAAGGAGTCTATGAGAGCCAGCGGACTGGAGTTAAAAATGGAGAGAGGTTCACTTTGAAGTGTCTGGAAAATTTACAAATGGTCTCTTGTTCCCCAGAGGAAACTGAAAAACAGTTAAATTAATGCTGGGAGAACAAAGGTGCGTCTAGCTTAGGTTATAAGTTGTTATGACCTAATTTTCTCTTTCGGGTGAAGTACAAGTAAAAGTGGTAACTCTACCTGTGAGCTTAAACTAGAACTCAGCCTAAGGACTCACAGTTTAAGAAGCAAGTTCTCCATTGCCCAACGTTAAACTTAGGGATGGCCACACAGAACGCAGACGTTGTCTAGTCTGGGCCCGCTGGCATGGGGCGATGCTTTCCGTGTAAACACTGCAGGCAACGTGGGAGCACAGCACGGGGTAAGACACATGCACATGCTTTATGACTTGAATGTGGTGAAGGAGGTCAGTTCCACACACTGACCAGGCAGGACCCCTCCCATCTGCCAGAACCATCCCAATCTGACCAGCTAATACAGACAGCTGGCTCCCTTTGGGCAAGTTGACCAACGCAGAAGGTCAACCTTTGGCCTCACGTATCTGCTCCCCGTGACACTGCCCCTTCCCTCCAAGGCTTTGTTCTTGAACCTGTGCCTTCTACCATCATCAAGCAAGACTGCTAGCGGGCACGGGGCACACAGAGGACTGGCCCGGCGCCTTCTCCTCCCGTCACACTAGCCGGCCCTGGCACACCCAGGTGAGGTGCAGCAGGTACCCTTCTTAGGACCTGGGGGTACCCGTCACCAGAGAATGCAACTGAATGAAGGAAATGCTTCCCGTCTGACAAACCTCGACTCCGGCGGTACTGAACAACCCCAAGGAGCTCGCAACCGTCACGATGTGGCCGTGATTAATCTCCAGCATCGTAGGGAGAAAAGCCTTCGTGGTCTGAAAGAAAAGGGAGACACAGGCTTCAGAACGGACACGAGTGGTTTCATCTAAAACCCAACCCAACAACAACAACAACAACAAAAAACACAAAAAATCCCAACCCAGCATAACGGAGCAGAGTTTACACCGACCACTAAGGAGAAGATCCCTTCGGAGTGGGTTAACCTCGCACCGTGTCACTGGCGTGGCAGGCCTGTTATAAGCCGTGACCAATAAGGCCGTGACCCCGGTCCCTTTGGGGACGACGTCCAGATGAAAAGAAAGCCGTTCCTATAGGGCTCTATCACTTTCAGGTGAGTGTTGTCTGCTGAACGACTCCCAGGTCTTCTTATTGCTCATGACACGTGAGTGTGGCTCTCAGGCCGGGAGGGCCTCCCCCTCCCACAGACAGGTGCCTCGTGTCTGTGTTTACCTAGTGGGCACCTCTAAGCAGTGACAAACCCGTGGAGGGATATCCCAGCCTTCTCTTCCAGCATGCGAAGCTTTATTGTCAAAGGGTGCTAACAGGAGGGAAAGTGTATTCGTATGTTAAGAAGAACCAGGGAAAAGTATAGAGTCATTTTAATGAAAACTGTCATAATGCTAACCCTGCACTGACAAAAACTTCTCACTGACCGCCCTGCACAGGGGTGGGGGGGGTGGCTTTCCCAGGGAGGCAGGTGACCGGCCACTCAGGTAGCAGAGCTCTGGCTCCAGGAAGGGGCCTCCGTAAAATCTCTTCTCCCTCAGGCTCTCATGCCTTTGAGATGCAAGGCTGTATTTTTTTTTTTTTTTTTTTACATTAAATTGCTTAAGATGATCTACGAACTACTCTACCAGGCTCCCAACAGTTTTATAACCTGCTTCTTAAAAGAAAGCAGCAAAGAGCAATCTGTCTACTGTTGAGTTATAGCCCATTGCCAGCACAGCTCCCCGTGATTTATGAAGTTAAAAACCCAAACGCTCACACAATGGACTGTAAGAAGAGCTGCATTCCCTCCTCGGAGGAGTTTCTGGCTAAGTGATCGCTGAATTTCTGCATAAATAGCTAACGTGTTATCAAAGCTTTTGCACATACAAGATCAAAAACAGTCGTTCCATCCGTTTTAAAGTTTTTTCATGTTCCAAACCATGATGCATGCAGTTGGCCAAATGAGTCTTGGTGACATATCTGAAGGTTCTCCCTAGTCTGACTCTGAACCGGCATGTGACACCCCTTGCCTCCCAACTCAGACCGCATTTGTCTGGCCTCTTCGCTGTGGTCACCTATGTCACGCTTATTCTCACCGGCCAGGTTCCACCCACCACCTCTTCTCTGACGCTCTACCTTCCGTGGCTTCCTACCTACTTCAGAGCGTAATGTGCATCACAGCCCCTTCTGCTTCCGGGTGCTCATGTCTCTGGAGCTTCCAAGACCTCTCTATCGGAAGCAGTTGGGGTGTTAAGCCTTTACCTAATATTACTCTGTATGTCTCGCTAGCCCAGACTAAGCGGAAAGATACAGACCCTTTCAGCCATGAAGGGAGATTGCTACGCGGTGACAAGCACTGTGGAAGCAAGTGATGGGACTCCTTGCGTGCTTACAGGCCCGCCGCAGAGCTGTGTGTGTATGACGGGTCCATGCTTCAGCTTGACTTTATTTCTTTGTAGTGGTAAGCGGGAATGGTTAAGGCAATGGTGATAACAGCTCTGATTCTGGTCTGCTTGATAGCCAAAAAAGGGCAAGCTGTGATACTTAGGTCATTACAGGTTCACCTTTAGGCTCTATAGCCGACATAGGGCTATTATACCACAGAACTGCAATCAAGCAACATCACAAAAAGGCTTCTATATTACAACAGAAAGCCTATCCTTAAATAAGCAAGTCTATAAGTGTTCTTGTAAGGATCTGGTTATCATTAATTATCTCCAGATTTATACTCCAAAAATCACAAAGTTTATTCTTGATGTTATCCAGAAACCATTTTTAAGTATTAAAAATTTGCTTCTTCTTGAAAGATGCAAATAGATTTAGTATGAAGGGCCCTGTTTTTAAGTTCTGAGGTATAAGAACTCAATGTTAAATCCCAAGAAATGAAACATGGTATAAAATACCACTAAGATATGCTACTTGGTGGCCTGACAGATCCAAACACTGACTGTGACAGCCACCCGGCCAGTGTCCCCACTGAGTCTCGGTGGTCGGCCGTGACCACAAACACACAGACTCCCTCGTTCATGTGCCACACTGCTGCTTGCAGGTGTTCAATGACTAAGCCAGGTCCCAGCACCATATAGATGTAGGGGATAGAAGATTAACAAACTCCTAATGGTTTTCAAAGATTCATTTGCTCTAAGTTTCTAAAACTGATAAATGTCCCCTCCCCTGAAATTAGTCTGGTGGCATTAACTTATTCAACAAGCATTTCTTGAATGCCTTCGCCATGCAGGTCTGTGTTCCGCCCTGGCCAGGGATGGGACATGACAGCGGGTCGCTTCCTGTCTGTGCATAATTCACACTCGCCAGCGCCTCACGGTGTTAAGTCAGAACACCAAACAGAAAGCGGTTCTGGCCTCTCCTTCACAAGAGCACGGTCTTGGGCTGCATATTCTTAAAAAAAAGGTTTGGGCTTCTTCCCCTGCACCCTCTGCAAAGTAGTTTGGAGGGATGTCGAAGCTGCTGGTTTGTATTTAGGAGAAAAAAGGGAAAAGAGAGACAAAAGAATCCAAACATGGCTAAGTGACAAATTTTTCCCAATTAATTGTGGTTGTAAACCACTATTTTTCAGGGAAGTATGCTTCACTTTAAGTAGCTGGTAGAGTGTGACCTAGGTTTGTTTTAATCCGAAGCTTTCTTTTGAGAGGGAAGGGTCAGATCCATGTTTTGTGGAATGGGAGCATGCAGGTAGGGACCACGCAGGTGTCTTTCTAACCCTGAGTTTGCAGGGCTCACGCTGGAGCCTGATCCACGTGACTGAGCACCAAGGCTGTTAATCATTCTCTTTGCTGCCTGAATGGAGGTGAGCAATTACCGGGTGTGCGTTATTTCCACAACCAAACTCCTGCCTTATGTCTGGAGCACATTACCAAATTAACTTTGATCAGCACGGATTCTACCCCCAACTTTACAAGAAAAATGCGATAAATCAGTGGCTAGCGTGCACCTCACTTTCAGGAATTTCCCAAAGCCCCTGACTAGTCCTCTTTCCTGATGCCTCGTGCCCTCCCTAGCCCGGGAGATGACATCTGAGATAGCACAGCATGTTCCGTCCCTGACACCGTCTGACAGCGCACAGAAAGCTGGCACTTGGCGATGAATTATTAATGCGCGCAAATACTGCAGCATGTATGAGCTGGGGACCAGCGAAAGGTGAAGTGCTAGTTGCTATGAAAGGTGAAGTGCTAGTTGCTATGACACCAGTCGGTTCAAGCGAAGGTTTGCGATCTTTCCCTTTGTCTCAGAGTCGTTAGCAGAACAGAAAGGACAAACCTGGAATATAAACTCGTGGCCGTGCCGCCCTCGGTGCCCCTGGAGGGCGGCCCGGGCCCCACTGGCCACCAGGGCTGCGGCTCTCCGCGGGAAGGACACACCCCTGGGGCAGGCCAGGGCCTGGGGAAGGGGCCTCTGATGGATGCACCGAGTTGGTTGGTGCCAATGGCAGTTGGCAGGGTCGGCTAAACGGTTACCCTAAGTCAGAGGAGTACACTCCATCGCCGTGTCCTCTTACTCAAATGTCTCCGAAGCAGGGAGATACCCAGCTTCTGGTCAGGAAAACCGGGTTGGCTCTTGATCTCGGGTGGGGAGGCAGTTAAAATCAGTCAGCAATGTGCATTGATTGGTCTGTTCCATGAGAGAATGTAGAGGCAGAACAGACCGAGGGGTTATCTTAACTGCAATAGAGAAAACTCTTAATAACGGTGCCTGGCTAACAGGTGTGGAGATACACCTCTGATTCCCTGTGATTACCTTTCCTCACTCCCATCCCACAGCCGGCCGCCAGCTGACAGGCTTGCCATGTGACTTTATACAGAGGGAGCCTAGCAGGTTGGCTCAGGGGTTAGAGCATTGACCCTGGGACTGAAGGGTTGAGGGTTCAATTCCAATCAAGGGTATTAACTTCGGTGGCAGGTTTGCTTCCCAGCCCCGCTTGGGGTGGGAGGCAACCAATCGATGCATCTCTCTTCCCCTCCTTTCTGCTCTCTCTAAAAAAAAAAATCAAAGGAAGAAATGTCCTTGGGTGAGGATTAACCAAAAAAACCCCACAAAAAGACAACAAAAAGCACACACACACACCAGAAGGAAAAGGGACATTCCTATGGACACTGGCATTCCTGTGGAACCTCCTTAACAGTCTAAGATCTCCCTGGCTCCTCAGGGGTCCTCTTCAAAGCACCAGGCGCTTTGAAAGATAACTGTAAAGGTCATATTTACAATGTAAACAAGAACTTGAACAGAAGTATGGCTGGACACAGACGTGACATGTCCCATCTTGAGAAATCTTTGGATGTGAGGTTTACGCCAAATTAACCTCCTACAGTTCCAACCGCCCGGATCATTCCCGGGCTCCTAATGACAGACTGCAGCGGAGCCCGCGGCGGCCCTGTCAGGCCCGATCAGCCCAAAGCTAACAGAGAGCGCGGGGAGGAACGCGGGGCCCGTGAAGCCTGGCCTGGAAACTCCGAGACTGACGTGCGGGTGAGGCGCCTGTGCTGTGCCCGCCGTCCTTGCAGGCAAGCCCAAGTGGACGGGCACGAAGGGGAAAGTGCGGGAGTCCCCCACGGCAGGGAGAGGCCTCGTGGTGTTTTCTGTACATTTTTTTACAGCTGTCCTGTGGTCAATTCAAGAGAAGGAATATTTTCAAAGAATCATTTTTGTGGTGTTTATCTCTCCTTCGAATGTCCAAGAAACAGAGCGGACTTTCTAAAGAGACCCATGACTCATACTACGGCGAAGGGTACTGCCATCGGCACTTATAGTACAGTTTTCTGCTGAACATTGACCGTTTTCAGAATCTACGAAGAACAGCAACATAGACAAT